CGAGGTCGTCTCAGACGCGAACGGGCCCACCGAGCGGTGGACCGACAAGGCGAAGAAGCAGCATCGTTCCAATTCCGAGGTTCATTCATCCAGGCCTATCGTACATCTCAGCAATACCATGCCCATGCAGCCGACCACGCCACGCGATCAGCATCGACCCACCTTTGGCTCTGCTGCAAACGCAGGTCAGTTCTTGTCTCCCCCTTCGAGCGAACAGGTCCCTCAGGAATCGGCACCCGACCATGCTGTCGACACTGACGACGAAGACTCGTCTGCCGTTGCGCAAGACTCGGTCATGCTCGACGGGACAATCCCCATGCTGCTCCAGGAAGGTACGCCGATGCTCAAGGTATCCGCGAAGAAGCAGAAGCGCTACGTCTTTAAGCTCGATCCGGATCAAGGACAGATCTCCTGGCAGTCAAAGAAACTACGTATAAGTACGTGGTGTCTACCGCAGTCATACATGGCCCTCTACTCACTATCCAAAAATGCAGTCCCTATCGAGAACATTAAGGAGCTCCGGGAGGGTGCCGACGCACGCTACTACCGCCAGCAGTTCCAAATCGCACCTACTTTTGAGGATCGCTGGCTCACCATTGTTTACGTGCTCGATGGACGCTATAAGACGCTGCACGTCCTTGCGCCCACGCGAGACGTCTTCCAGATGTGGGACCTCACGCTACGCCGGCTGTATGCAATTCGTCAGAAGCTCATGACGGGGCTGGGGCACTCGGAAGTCCGTCAGGCCGTATGGGAGAAGCAGTTTTGGAAGGGCGACTCAGGGACGGACCAGAGACTCGAGTTTGAGGAAGTCGAGCATATGTGCCGGAGATTGAATATCAATCCGAGCACGGATGACCTGTTGCGGCGGTTCAAGGTCAATATGCCCATGTTGTTCTTTGTCTACATGCTCATGGTCTGCGTATGATAGGAAGCGGATACTCAAGGACGAGGATATCTCGACTTCGCCGACTTCCAACGTTTCGTGAAGGCCTTGAAGGCGCGTCCCGAAATCGACAAACTATACGATAGACTCGCTAGTGAGAGTGGTGGCAAAATCAACTACGAGGTGTTCGAACGATTCATGCATACATGCCAGAAGGCGCGTCCCAGTTCATCGCGAAGCGTCTCATTGCTGATAGCTACCTGCAGTCGACGCTGACTCCGAGCGAACTCCGGCGGGTCTTTCTGCGGTACGCTTCTGCGACACATGACCGCGGCCTGTCTCCTCCAGCTTCCCCCGCCCAAACGTCCTTGGAACTAGCTACGCAGTCTGTGTCTATCGCGAAGGAAGCCGAGGCCGCCAGTGTGCATGTCGATGTTTCAGGAGGCTCGCCTCGTCCTGTTTCTCCTTCGAGGTCACCCTCCTCTCGGGCGTCTGGCTCGCCGCCCGTTCAAGGACTCACGCTCGAGACGGCAGTGATGTCGTTGAGGGGCTTCACGACCCTCCTGCTGTCCACCGACAACTCGGCATTCACGGACCAGCACGGGAAGATCTATCACGACATGACGCATCCATTGGCGGACTACTACATCTCGTCCTCGCACAACACGTACCTAGTCGGCCACCAATTAGTGGGTGAAAGCACAATAGAGGGTTATATCCGGGCGCTGTTGCACAGCTGCAGGAGCGTCGAACGTAAGCGAACATCATTGCACGGTGAACCGAGAACTGTGTTCTCACTCGCCACACACAGTTGATGTCTACGATGGCGACGTGGAGCCCGTAGTCTACCACAAGCACACGCTCGTCTCCAAGGTCTCCTTGCGCGATGCCTGTGCCGCGATCAACAAATATGCATTCGTCGCATCGCAGTACCCGCTGATCATCTCGGCGGAGGTACATTGCTCGCTGCCTCAACAGGACATGATCGCGAACATCATGCGCGAGGAGTTTGGGGATGCGTTGATTAGCGCACCACCCGAGGGGAGGCCGAAGATAGATGTTCTGCCAAGTCCAGAGGATCTGAAAGGATGCATCTTACTGAAGGCAAGTGAGCAGCAAGACATACCCTGGGCAGGCCATTGACATTGTGGTGCAGGCGAAGAACCTTTTCGTCACGGACAAGGAGGGGATCCAGGAGAAGGAGATTGTCGTCGATACGGAGTCGTCCTCGACGGAAACATCTTCGTCTGCTTCCGAGGTCGAGGAGCTCAAGGAGTGGCGGACGACGCATATGCAAGGTATGTACCCCCCTTTACGCTTGACTGCCTCTCAGCGATTGATGGTGCCTCAAGAGCTCAAGTCCGAATTCAAGAAGGCCCGTGCTGTCCTCGGCGGATCCTCACGACCCGAGATTGTACGCACCCCGCCGCCCGCATACCAGCCTCCTCAGAAAGTGAGGATGGCGCTTTCATTGGTCGCGCTTCTGGTCTACACCGTCGGGGTGAAATGCCGGGGCATCAACAAGAAAGAGGTCTACGCGCCGGAGCACTTGTTCTCTCTGTCGGAGAACACGACGAACCGGATCATGAAGCAAGGAATGCTGGACTTGATCAAGCACAATCGCACGCATATTGTCAGGATCTATCCCAAGGGCACACGCATAGGCTCTACGAATTTTGAGCCCCACCGGTTCTGGTCTTCAGGATGCCAGCTCGTAGCAATTAACTGGCAGACTTTCGGTAAGTGCGCAGCGCGATATAGTCATTATGTATGCTGATAGCGCTACCACACAGACTTGGGCTACATGATCAACCGCGCGATGTTCCAGCGCAACGGGCGTGCAGGCTACGTCCTCAAGCCCCTCGCGCTGCGCTCGACGGGGGACAAGCAGCTCCTCGGGCAGCACACGAGCCACCGTTTCGAGGTGACCATCATCTCCGCGCAGCAGCTGCCTCGCCCGAAGGACTCGTCCGGGCGGGACGTCCTCGACAAGTCCACCGTCGACCCGTTCGTCGAGGTGTCGCTGCACATACCCGACTGGCCAGAGGCACCACGCTCGCGGCGCGCATCGCTGACGACGCTCGATGCGCCGCCCGCGAGCGCCGCGCCGGTGACGCCTGCGCGCACGGTCGTGCAGCGGACGGGCGTGGTGAAGAACAATGGGTTCAACCCCGTGTGGGATCAGCACCTGAGCATCCCGTTTGATGTCGTCGGCGACATGCGCGAGCTGGTGTTTGTGCGCTTTGCGGTCAAGCAGGAGGGTATGGTGGATGAGGAGCCGCTGGCAGTCTACTGCGCGAGCCTGGGGAGCCTCAATATGGGTGAGTCCTCATCAGATTGTGGGAGGGTTATGACTGAATCCTGGGCATGGCATATAGGCTACCGACATCTCCCTCTCCATGATGCGCAGCTTTCACAGTACCTCTTCTCGACGCTTTTCGTCAAGTTGGAGATTCTCGATATCTGAATGGGGTCTCAGCACTGAACGGACGCCACAGTGCAGCAATTACAACATTCATCTGTACAACCATCTACTCGCCTTTTTGCTGTAGCCTCTCCTTGATCGGCTGCATTGCGTCCTGACGGAACATCAGTCTGCTTTGTACCACCACCAGTCGCCATCTTCACACCATCTTCACCAACCGCATCTCATCGTACACATATGGCTTAATGAATAGTACATCAATAACCTAGTTCAATACACGAGCCCCTACAGCTCCGACAGACGAGAGGAATGAGATTCTTGGATTTGTTCCGATAAATTGATACGCCGCACGATTATATGGGCCATGAGAGGGAAACGAAGCAAAGCAAGAAGAAGATGCGAATGATAGATGCAACAGAGGGAGCAAGGAAAAGAGCCATGCATGTACGGGAGCATGTTGAGCGGCGACATCGTCAACAGAGTGGGTGAACAACTCTACTTCGGCGGCGGCGACGGAGGGCCTGCATGAGACGTGAGTTGAGTGAATCGCGTACCATCGGAGAACATACCGAAGAGGCCCATGCGAGGCGGGGCCATGTCATTGGGCAAGGGCGACGCAGCTGTGCCGCGCATGGGCTGTGGCGAGAGGAGTGGGTTGGCTATGCGTCACGGAAACAACGTTGCAACGACGTCATCATCAACGATACAGCTCTTTCATTCGATCGAAATGAACTACACACGTTTCCACTGCGCCCACGCGGGCAGGTTCGGGGTCGGTGGTTCTGGGATCGGTGCGGCGGCTTGGGGCGGAGGGAGAGCCTTCGCCTTCGCCTTCTGGCGACGCTCTTGACGGATGTTGACTGTGCGCCAGCCTGGACGCGCGGGTGCGTCCCCGGCTACGCTCTCAGGCGGGGGTGGGGGTGCCTCGACTGGTGGTGGCGGGGCCGGTTCGTTAGGGAGCTAGTGGTGGGACGAGTTCAGGATACGTCTGAATGATCGAAGAAGAAACAACGCATACGGGGGGCTGCCAGTCAGCGGTGTATTCACCTCCGGCACCGTGCTTGGACTTTAGGCTCATGAGCTCTGCGATCTCACTGCAACGGCGCGACGATGCCCGGGCGATCGCAAGGCAGAGAACACATTAGTGAGTCGGGCCATCGCCTGGATATGCTACCACGCACTATTGCAGTTGCCTGCGTTCATCTCGTAGCTTTCCAACCTCCTGTAGTAGGATGCGCACTTCGCTCGCGAGGGCCTTGCTAAAGTCATTGATATACCTAGAGCCCGGCACGAATGAACACGGGTCACGCGTCGATTGTACTGAACGCACCTTGCTTGAGAAGCTGGTGTCTGTTTCGCGGACATGGTCAAACAGTGTGGACGGAAGACAAGAGTGAGGAGTGGAGAGAAAGGCGAGGATATGCGCCCAAGTCGAACATGTACACGGAGCCAATCCATGTGCCTCGACATGTTCAGCCACGAGGCACCGTCTCGATCCGCTCAATTCCGATCCGTTACTTGCAAAAAAACCTTCGTCCCTCTGTGCCAATGAGCAATGGTATGCTCCTGCTGGTAGAACAACATCTTGGAGCAGTACAACGGAAAGAGATCATGTCGGCGACTTGCTGGTGCTTAAGGGAACACAAGGTGTAAATGATTATGTCAGTCATATGCCAGCAACATAATATGTGCCCCATGGCTTAGTTGGCTATAGCGTCCGACTGTTAAAGCGCGAATGTTCGCACTTGCCTAAATCGGAAGGTCGAGAGTTCGAGCCTCTCTGGGGCAGAGTTTTTTTTGCCAAGTGTTTGGGTACGTCTGAAGTCGACAGAAGTGGGTCGCCATGATATTAGGGGAGGTCAGAGTAGCGATTGTGGAGCGATTATGAGGCGATCCACACGGTTGATTTTGACACGATTCGTGGTGCCAAGACATGTCGAAAATCGCTCGAAAATCGGCTTTCACTCTGACCGCCCCACTTTGGAACTCACAACCCGGGGCGATTCTGAGTCGTTGCAGCATAGTAGTAGTAGTATTTTCCATTTGTAAAGTCCAGTAAGGATACTCTGGTCCGTGCCCCCACCATGGTCCGACGTACAGCCCGCCGACGACGCGCAGAACGCCTCTTGAAGGCCTTTCGGAACGTCTGCAGGCACCGGCAAGCTCGTCTGCTACGAAGTCGCGTGCAGCTCGCCAGAATCTATGCCAGATACAGCCGCAAAAGGCGACGGCAGGGCCGCAGTCACTCGTCTTCGCTCGGAGTCACGGACACCCCAAGTTGTTTAGTGATAACGAGATTTGTATTGGTTTGTTATCAGTGTACAAAAGCATACAAAATGAAGTAACAACGGCGAGAATCGACAGCGAGCGAAAGCCGCTCTCGGCGATTTTGGTGATCTGAATCGTGTCAACATCGAGGACCCGCATCGCCTCAAAAGCGTCTCATAATCGACTACTGTGACCTCCCCTATTTTTCGAAGACCCCCAGCAACTGAGGCTCACTGATCTACACCATGGGAGGAAGAGGACCACTTTGGAAATGATGCCGTATGACATGCAAGAGAAGGGTCTGAAGGCATGGAGAAGGGCCGACGGCTCAATGTGGTGGTAGAAGGTCAATTCATTGGCATGTAGAATTCAACAGCGGATTTTGACACGCTATACTTATGGTGCCGACAATCTTGTCATTGTCGTGAAACGGAGCAAGGACGATTGCATTGTTATGGAACATTGTAAATACATTGTGATGCTAATACAGGCCGATGATGTAGTATATGTCACTCACCGGGGAATTTGGCGTCTGCATTGCAGATGCTAACAAGCAAAGCACACGGTCAGTAGGCGCCGCCCCGTGCGGGTAGTCATCGAGGGTATGCTGGATGTGGGCAGCGACAGCTACACCGCCAAGGACGGTAACAATACGAAAGAGGGCATGGTGGGTGCGGCAGCCGAGCAGGAATGACGGCAGACGGCAGCGAGAATGTTGTTGAAAACAGGGACAAAGGTGCAGGAGTTGTCTCAGAGGACCGCTGCACCAAACTGGAGATGACTTTGAAAGGGTGTTGGAAAGGAGAGCAAAGAGCAGCGCACCGTGTTATAGAGCCTGCGGCCGCGGGCGGAGCTGGCATGCATGGTAGCGGTGTGCCACGATGGAAGCCAGGGCATCAAATTTTCGCTCGATGGCGGGGCCGTGATGCCGAGGATTCCGGGGCAATGTTGGGTTCCTGGATGAAAGCGGTCTTGAAGGATTGCTTCCCGCCGAGCATGATACGGTGCTCTTGCCAGTCCGAAGTGAACTTGAGGTTGTCGAGCTGATACAGGATGAAGGAGACGGCGGTATGGGAGGTGTTGCAGAGTAGAGTCGTGGTGAGAGTCTTGTGGCGGGCAGTGAGGCGTTCGGTGAGGCCGAAGTCGTGGGCAGCAATAGTGCTGGTGTCCGTTGTGGGATGGTCACCCACGGCTCCGAGAGCCTCTTCCTGAAGTGCGAGTGTATGCGCGAGCAGCGGTGTGTGCGCATATAGTGAGTGTGGACTCACCCGTTCTTGAAGCAATCCTGGAGAGAGACCGCGAAGGAGACGTGTAAACGCGAGGTCCTCTTAGTTGGCGGCCTTTGCGCGGTCGTGCTGGGCGAGGAGGCCTTGGACAACGTCGGCGGGGGAGCGCACGTCACCACCCAGGTGGGCAAGCATGCTCGCGGTGTGGTTGCCACGCACATTGGGCCTGTCCTTGTGCTGTTGACGACGCGGCCTGACAGCAGAAGAGTTGCGCGCGTCAGCATTGCGCGGCTCCGGCCGCTTCAGCGTCGGTGCTCCCACCGCCGGCGTCCTCGTCTTCGGCCAGGGCGTCGGCGATGCGGGCCTGGAGGGCATAGAGGCGGTCGCGGGCGGGGGAAGATCGTCACAGAGGGGCTCCATCATCTCGAAGTGGTCTAGGAGGGTACGGAGGAGGACACAGTGAGGTGGTAGGAAGAGAGGGGAGGAGACGACAGTGAACGCTTTATATAGCCCGCCGGTCGCAGACTGGGCGGGCGTTCGCGCGCGTCGGTGTTGTCGACGACGGAACGAACACGAGTGCATTTTTGGCGGTGGAAGCCTGACCGAGCTCGAGGGTCCCGTGAATCCGGTCGAGAGTTCGAGCCTCTCTGGGGCAGAAATCCTTTCATCATTGTTTGAGAGTACACTCTGGTGCAGTGAGTACTTATGTACATAGTGCAAATGCCTCGTGTCTCTGACTCTCAGTCTCAAGAGATTTGTGCAGTCGTTCGTCAGGGCACCTTCCTGCGTGGCTGTAGATCAGTATGTATTTCTCACCTATGCACCAATCCGGCGGCTTCCCACACCGGACACAGGGGTGAATAATCCCAGTGGGGGCATTCTGAGACCATCGTGAGATTTGTCATCATATGCAACCCGTATCCCAAGAGGGAACAATGTGGTCAAATTTGAACATTGTACACAATGTTCCGGCCTGACATATTGTAGGAACATTGCAAGATTGTTGAAAAAGATATCAATGTGATCCGCCAATATGCCACCGCAGGTCATTGTGAATACATGATGAGAATATTTAAACAGGTGTCACAATGTACCCACAATGCGTCGCCACATCTTAGACTGAGGACATTATTGCCATATTTAAATTGACTTCCCGGGGTTCCCAGTGCGCGACATTGGGAGATTATTGTGATCGCATCGATAGATAATCCTTATATGATTAAAAGTGTATCCACGGTAAATACCGGATGCACTTTCAAAGCCATCATCATCTTCCCGTGCGGAACACAGGGATTAAATTTAAATTGAAATGAACGTTTACTCCGCATATCATCAGAGCCCCGGGGAGTCTTAGACGGTCCAGGGCTGGCACGCACGCCGTCGGGCGCCGTGCTACGGCGAGTGCATCCGGACTAAAATCGCGCGAACGGGGCCTGAAGCTGAAGGCCTCATCGTGTCGGCACAAAAGCGGGTGTTGGGCAGGCGGAGGCCTGAACGTCGAGGCTTGATTGTGCGACGCGCAAGCCTGTTGACATCCGAGTCCGGGCGGTGCGTGGTCGGGAAACGATCCGAGATCGAGATCAGGCCCCTCGCTGACGTTGCGGCGCTAAGTACGACACGAAATGCACCTACGACCGCCTTCAATCAGCATCACATTACCTATAGCGTATTGAGCATGCCCTAGCCCATCGAGCTCACCACCACCGTGACCGGTAAGACCGAATGAGTACTTGGCGAGATTACCTATGAGTTTCCAACTCATCTTAGTCAGCAAACACATCTTAGTCAGCAAACACATCTTAGTCAGCAAACACATCGAGCACTGTGCCTGGCCCATCGAACTCACCGCGACCATAGCAAACCGGCTGATGTATGATGGAACGACCCGGTTGTAGGTTTCGGTACCACCTCGAGCTAGCCCATAGTGGAGAGCAAGATAGCAGTCCCAAGAAGTTTCGTGAGTTTCAAACGCATCCCGATTCGGCACTAAACTTATCTGAGTCAGCATGGGATGCCTTTATCCAGATCCGAACCTATCTTAGTCAGAATTTCCCCTTTGGGCGTAAAACCCATCGGATGTAAATTAACTCATAACTCAAGTGCGTACCGTCCCGATGAGTTCGATTTGCTGCCGACATACGTCACAGTCGGCTCAGGAAAACCAAGCGGCTCTGTCGTGTGGCCTCAGTGGCGAAGCGGGTTTCAACCGTCACGGTTTCAAACGAGATTCTTCGCGTGAGGATCGCACGACTATGCGATAGACGCGAGCATGCTATCGTCGAACATCAACATACATTGTACATGGCTAGCCAGGAATAAGTGTCAGAGGACCACCCGTATGCACACAACCAGTTTTCGCGCCAGAAAGTCAATACTCGTCGACTTCAAGCATGGAGCGGGCGCGCTTGATGGAGGGCACGATAGTCGTGAGGTCAAGCGACAAATGTGCGAGCACAGGCACACTGATGAGCGTTCGCATTTCTCCGTTAATTATCCCTCGTATGAAAAAGCGGATGCCCCAAGCACGCTGAGAGCAATGACAGGTCAGTAGGGATTTGGATACAACAATATTAGTGAAATTACCTTCTCAAATACTTGGACTACGTAAATGTCGGTCTCGCGATGATGAAAGAAGTATCTGTGTGTGTGGAAGAACACTCCAGACACATCAGAAGAGTGTAGTACAAGGATACCTCTAAACCACCCACCATAGGTTTCACGCTCAAGGAAGTTCCGCACCCTATCGCTTATCTGACCGGCAATGGGCTGGCTCTGGACGCCTTCCGAGAACTCAACGTGCGGAGGAGGGTCAGCTATGTCAGCCGCCCGCTTGAGTATCGCTATGTTCTGAAAGACACTGTGAGTAACATAGCAGCGAAGAGACGTGTCCCTCACCCGAGCATGGTCCTGACCGAAGGCGTTCCAGTCGATGGCATCATTGCCAACTTGTTCGAGATTGATCCAACTATTGATATAGCTGTACCTGAGTGGCGACGTGCACCAAACGCGATGCTGCAGATGATCATTATCAAGTCAGGCTAGCTCTGGCACAGTGCCGAAAGTCAGAGGCGTACCAGGACCCCGATGACCTGACAGAACGTTACGGTCTCCGGAATGGTCGTGGGATCCGATGGAGTAAGAGACAATACGAGACGGTGCGCGTCCTTGATCGCATGGAGCTCATCGTCGGTGAGGAAGCTAGGGTTCGTTGCGACACGCCACCAGTTAGTGGCCATCTCTAGCAATGATGGATGGTGAGGAGTCCCGCAGGTTGCCCACCAGTTTTTATATGAGG